AGGACGCGTGGATAAACGGGGGAGCGATCTGCTCAAGCCTCCCGAAGATCGCGTAAAGAAGGTCCAGCTGGGCATTAAGGCGGGGTCCGAAGACGTGAGAGACCCGCTTGCGGACCCTTCTCCTCGTGGACAGGTTAAGCCGATCAAGCGTAAATTTGGCGGTCTGAAACTGACGGCGGGGGGTGCCGAAGGCAGGGGCGGAGGGGGGGGTGCTCGGCATGTCGTAGTTGCGGATCAGGTTCTGGGCCATGCTGTTGTCGAACCGCTGGCGGTCGGCACTCGGTGCGTCTAGCCTGGGCAGCGTGTAAACGGCATCGACCAGCGACCGACCGCGCAGAGAAGGCACGAACGTTATACTGCACGATGCCCTTAAAGAGGCCGAGGCCGAGGTGCTAAATATCCGGAGAACGAGTGCGCAGTTTAGCGCGAGGCCCGCCCCAGCTCCGCTCGACGCCACCGGGCCCGAGATACGTGCCAAGATAACGACCGCGCTCTCAGACCTGCAAGCGGTGGTCTTGCACGCCATATTGCGCAGCGCGCTGAAGTAGGACAGCACGAGTAGGATCAGCAGCGAAGACCAGGGCGGTCCTCGAGGTGGCGAGCTCAAGACCAGCTGCACGGTGAGAGACGGCAAAGCATGCGAGCGCAATGCGAAGGGATTGATAAGGGTTGTGGGCAGCAAGACCAGTGTCGTCCGCAAAGGCTCCTAGCTGATTGAGGTTCGGCGGGGGGAGGCGGCGCATCGCGCGCGTGAAGGGGTCAAGGGCAAGGGCAGGGATGGAGCCCGACATCGGGCACCCCTGCTTAATGCCGCGGAGTGCCCGAAATCTCTGACTTGCGTGACCGCAAAATAATGCTTCCACTTGCATGTCATGATGCAATTGCTTATGTAGGTGGCGAATATGACGAGGGGCCTCCGCAGTGCCCTCCAAATAAAATCATGGAGCGAGCTCGGGAAGGCGGCGCGGACATCGAGGAAAGCGAAGCCTGAGTGGGGCCCCCCTCTTGGCACCACCACCCTAGGATCTGAGATTCGAGGTTGAGGATGTTCTCAGCCATGCTGCGACCCGCGATAAAACCTCTTTGAACAATATGGCAGACCTGTTGACAAACTTGCCCGAGCCCACGGTTGGCAGCCAGCGCGATGATTTTGTTGTCAGAGTTGGACAAGCATAGAAGGCGGGTTTGATCAGGCGCGCGTTCGACGCAGCAGTCATCATGTGCCTGCGTGCCTTTTGCGAGGAAGACCCCCCATGAATGGTTGAAGCCTAGGCCAGGGTTGCCGCAATCGTTCAGGTGGCGGTGCAGGTCGCATAACGCGGAACGGGCTGTTGGACCAGCATTCTTCCATTATGAATATGGGGGGCCGTCAGGACCTGGTACAAAATCGTGTGGCCGACCAATAAGCTTATTAAACTGCTCCTCGCATATGGTCCATTCAGTGCGTGCGGGTACAGGCAGAATGGATTGCCGAAGCAGACGATGCGAGTTAGGATCCGATTGACCACCAGAATGAACGCGGCCCCAGTGGTCAGCGAGGAGACGCCCAGCCCCCTGGGGGTCGGAAGTCGCGACACCGTCCAAGTCCAAGATGGCCCCGAGAGGGGTGCGCCTGGCACCGCTCCCCCAAGCGCACTGGACAGTTACTCGAGGGGCCTCTGTTCGCATTCAGCTTTGCGCTGTGCGTGCATGTTGAGGGTGTCGAGCTCTGCGACCTGGGTGCTACGCAGCGTGTTGGGGAGATGGTTGAGGTGCTGATGGGAGCCCGCCTGGTCAGTCCACATGTGGACTGAAATCAATGAACGTGGCGAGGTGGGAATATGCTCTCATCGCTCTCGCAACTTTGGCCCGGGCCTGGTCCTGCATCCTACGCAGGGAAGCTAGTGACCGCGATACTTGTTGCGGCGCAGCGGTGGCAGCGTGACGAGTGGCGAGATCGAGCGCGCGAGCGGCAGCGCCGCGAAGCAGATCCTTCACCTCCTCGATCCTCGCGACAGGGTTCCACGAAAGAAAGTCAGTGCCAATTTCCCCAATGCGGCCTCGCACTGCCCAGAAAAGGCTGGGCGGCGCGCCGCCCGCTTCGGGGCCCCGCGAGAGCCGGGCGGGGCCGAAGGGCACGGAGCGAGCACGACAGGGGCGTGGTCTGAGAGCTCCCCAGGGAAGGTAGGATCACCTATGATGACACTGCGTGGGTGCATGTCCACAGGCGCGGCGGAGAACATCTGAGTGTGGATCCTGTCGTTCCAACCCAGATTGACGGTGGTCCCCCGGGCGCATCGGTGAGTGTGCGTATCTTGTGCATTTTCGGCGAGATGTGGCATTGCACGCGCGAAGTGCTGGTGCAGTGAGCTCGACCGAAAGGTGAGCTGGCCCAAAAGATTGGCGCGTGCCTCGCAATTAGCCTGATAGTTGAAGTCGCCAGCAATAAAGCACGTGCAGCAGGCAGGTCGCTCCACTGCGTTCAGCTGACAGCAGCTAGCGCCTGCCTCGCGCGCGCTCAGGAAGCTCGAAAAACGCGGCCAGGTCGCGGCTGCCGCGAGGGCGGGCGCGCGCGAAGCGGCGATGCAGAAGCGTGCAGCGCCCGAGAGGGCGATTGCCGCGCGACTTCTCGGAGCATGTCATCGGGCAAGGGGCGCGGGGAACTCGCGTGGGAGCTTCGTCTGCCTCGATCAGCGAGCCGGGCTTCCACTTGAACTCATTCTGCTCTTCCTGAGCTGCGCGGGCGAGTGTGTCCCTGACAACTCGGCTGATGCGCTCGGCTGGCTGCGTCGAGACTCCGCCCTGCGCGGCAACCTCGTAGGGCGACGCGTGCGAGGTTCCGTGAGTGGAAAACACCATGGCGGTGGACAGCAGCGTCTCTGCTGGGTTCAGTGAGCCTTGGTTGAACAAATCCTTGAGCGGTCCATCGGGGTCTACATTGAAACGTTTCTGGCATTCCCAGTTGTCGCGGCGCCGCAGCGGGTTTTCCTGCGGCGGTATCGAATAGCCTGCCGCCGAAACTGGACTGCCTCGTTCAGAGCGAGACTCCAGTTTCACCGTGCCGGCCCCGTACCTCTGATAAATGCCTGATTGAACAAGAAGGATGCCCAAGTCGACGAAGATTTGGGCCGCGGTAGCTGGCGGCCGTCTCGCCAAATCAAGCGCCGCAGTGTGCGCGGCTGTCGGTTGCCCGGCCAGATGCTGCGCGGGGCCTCGCGCGCGGCGGGGCGCCCCCCTCGTGAGCATGCCCCTCTGTGTCGAAGGCTTTCCAGAAGTGAGCGAAGTCTTGCCCCTGACAATCGGCTACCGGGCGATTTCTTCACGGCGACCTTGGCGACTCTCTTCCACAGGTCGACGTTCTTGATGACGGACATTGTCATCGCTCGGCGAGGCATTGCCGCGATAGTTCGGGAGTGAAACAGCGATAGTTCGGATAAAATCGAGGTCTGACGGAAAATCTGCACCGCGCAGTCCCCGATGTTGAAAAAAGTTAGCTGGCGGCCGATCGCCGTGGCAACCGCCGTGCGCGTGAGCCCCAAAGCGGGTTCATGGACAGCTCCACGAGGCGGCGCAGCCACGCCCCCTCGGCGGAGGTGTCGACGGCACCTGCGCCGTGCCCGAGAGCCGCGGCGACCTGCTGGTCGTGCGCCGTGCGGCCTGCGGTTGCCTTCACATTCGCCATGTCCGCGTTCGCGGACGTGAAGGAACTTTAGGGGTGCTGCGTCTTGGCAGGGGAGCCCCAGAAGGAGAACGTGGCGGCAGGCTTTGGGCGATGCCCGGCGGTGTGGGGCGCGGTTCGCGCTGCGCTTAACTTGGCGGATAACTCTATGTTTACGGTGAAATAGAACAAAAGGTGAGGTAGGCGAAGAGGGGAAGAGGAACAGGGGGCGGGCGAGAAGATGACAACGAGAAGGATAGGAAGGAGGAGAGAGGAGGGAGAGGAGGAGGAGGAAGAGGAGAAGGAAAAGGAGGAGGAAGAGGAGGAGGAGGAGGAGGAAGAACCAAGGAAGGTGAATAAAAACTTGGGGACAGGGATGATAACGGAGAGGGGCGGAATGCAGCATAATAACAATAACATGAAGATGAGAAGGAAGAGGCGGGCATTGCGCCCGACGCAGTGGGCATTGCACCCGCACTATTGGGCACTGCGCCCGAAGAGTTGGGCATTGCACCCGAAAGAATTGGGAACCGACCCGACGCAGTGGACATTGCGCCCGCGCTACTGGGCATAGCACCCGCAGAGTTGGCCATTGCACCCGCAGGGCTGGGCACTGCGCCCGAGGAGTTGGGCATTGCACCCGAGAGAATTGGGCATTGCACCCGAGAGAATTGGGCATTGCACCCAGAGTAACAACGAGGAAGAGAGTCCCACCTGAGAGATCCCCCCCAAGGGAAACAACGCTCGAGGGGCGCACGCCGCCTTCAACACCGTCAGCGCCGTCGCCACCGCCGGATGGGAAGGAAACGTCGCTCTCCTCCCCCCGCTGCTGGGTCTCCCGCCGCCTCCTCCACCTACCCCTCATCATCTTCCTCTTCGTCCTCCTCATCATCGTCTGTATCCCCTTCCGCCTCCTCACCATCCTCCCCCCGTCGTCGTCGCGTCGTTGCCTGCGCCGCTCAAGCAACAAAGTTCAAAACTTCAAAACCGCATGAGAGGTCCTTCAACAACTCATTCAAAAAGGGAGCTCCCGCCTGAGAGGTCCCAGGAAAGAACATCCAGAATCAAGCTCCCGCCTGAGAGGTACCAACCAAACTCAATTAAAAGGCAGCTCCCGCCTGAGAGGTCAGGCTCCCGCCTGAGAAGTCCCAAAGCACCTCACTTAACATGCAGCTCCGGCCAGAGAGGTCCAAAAGAAAGAATTCAAAATCAGGCTCCCGCGTGAGATGCCCTCAACAAACTCACTTACAAGGCAGCTACCGCCTGAGAGGTCCCCAAAGATGCTCCAAATCAGGCTCCCGCCTGAGAGGTCCCCCATCAAACAAAACAACACAAGAGCAACACCTCTCATCCCTGCAACTGT